AACTACGATGATTGAATCAGAATCCAGAATGAAAAGGTTGACTTTCTTACCTTCATAATTAACCTGTGCTTTGCACATCCAAGGGAACGCAACAGGTTCAGCCCCTGCCTGCTGCTAGTCTACCTTTGCTGCCCCTCCACTGTTTGCCACAGGAGCAAAAAGGAGAAGATGCACTCTACTCTGGAGGTTGGGGACTCGCTCCATTTGACTGTTCTGTGTTCCTGAGCAGCAAATTACCAAGTACCAGTGTACTATCAAGAGAGAAGACTCTGCTGTGTCCACTGATGCTTCTGATTAACATCATCCCTACTACTGCCTTTCTTAGATGACAAAAGAAAAAGACTGACGTTGACAGGCTTCTGTTCACATGAAAACTGCTTCTCTCTCCATACAAGTCAATACGAATTCACCACTAGCACAAAACATGTTGCAGCAGCTTAGGAGGTTAAATATACCTGTCAATGAAGTGTGAATGATAGCAGACACGCCTCAAATAGATGTTAACTGTAAGCATGATTTGCCCATCAACACAAGCCCACAGCCTGTAGACTCTTAGTCACGTAAAAAAAAAAAAAAACTAAAGCTGTTAGGAAGTATAAATTATGCTTGACTTTTTTAGGTGACAGGGTCACATTAAGAGGAAACTACAATGATTTATAAATGTTAATGTTTTTGTAAAGTTTTAACAATTTCAAACTGATGTTTTAAACCTATACACGGTGCACCTATGATACAGGTCTCAGAGTCTTCTGGTTTTCTAATGAGAGGACACAGCAGAGGTTGCTTCCTTTCAGGCACTCCATCTCCGACTGAAACTTTCTAGGCATCTGAAAGGAGGGCAGAATGTGCTCTCACACATTAAGCACGTGAGCAATTGAGTTCTTGTGTGGAGCTTAAATAATCTTAATAATAATGATAATTACTATTATTATTATTATATTCGAAGATATGATTACATCTACAGTTATATGCAAGCTTTTTACAGTATGTGATATTGCTAATCACACAAGACAGATGTGTAATAAGAGAATGGCTTAGAACCGTTGGAAGCTGAATCCATGTTGAATATATTCATGCAGTAAAGTTAAATAAGGTAATATTTATAGAGAATCAATGTACTTAAATGTAACGTGCAAGACACAGTGAGTAGAGTAAATATCCCCATGTTTATATAAGAAGAGGAAGTCTGGTTTGATGGTATATACACCCATAAGATGGATGAAAGCATGTATCCATTGTTTGCTGTAGAGTTTTATAAATATCCAGCACTTTTCCCAGCCTAAGCATTGTACCCGTCGGCCTTCGGCAACATACAGTTGAGCTGTAATGGGTCTAAATCTGTGAATACTAATTATTGACTAAGAGATTTTGAAATTTAATAAAGGGCTGTGTCCAGGTTCAAGAAGTAAAAGCACTTTTCTACCTGACTACCTTGACCTTGTTCCTGTTTAAAGATATGATAGGCTTTCAGTACATAATGGCCTTAGTCAGCATTACTGTTCAATATTTGTTATTTCTTAGCCTTCGGCTTCAGAAGCTCAGTACAATACTGACATCCTTTTGCGCTTTGTGAATACTAACCCATCCAGTTTGATTACTGTTTTGCATAACGAAAGGAGCTGACAAAATAATAATTTGCACAACAATTAAATCCTCACATGAAAGGTAAAGAAGGATTGGTCTAAGAATCCCTTAAAGTAGCTCTACTGTCACCCCCAAAAAATGGAAGAGGTATTATACTTGCCTGTCCAGCAGCCCATGCCTCTTACCTTTGCTCCATCCAATGATTGCAACCTCCATCAGATTCTTGAGGTGGCTATACTCTATGTAAATTTTGGCTGGTTCTTGATGGACTGGATGAATTTCGCACGGTTGGTGCTTGTGTCGGCACCATTCCGCCCGGCATCCCTCGATCAGAAGATCAAAGGAGCCAGTTGGAAAATCTTTGGCCGGATGGTGCTTGCAGCTAATGAGTGGGTGCAACTGCCAGAATACAAAGCTCACAGCAGAAGATTCAGCCATCCATGCTGTTCAGCATAGATGGAGGAATGTGTTATATTTTTTCATTCAGCCCGCAGGTTGAACCAAAACATTTTTTTTACAGTGCATAGCCTTCTTTAGGCCTTCTTTAGCCTTCTTTAAGTATCTAATATTTCCAGAAGTGCTGTCCTGTAGTGAAATAGGGGGTCAGAGGTGGGATTTACAGCTCCTGGTGGGGGACACAGGCATATGACACTCCAGGAAGTGTTCCAGTAAGTGTTGAATGCTGAATAGCCTGGAGAAAACCAAACAGAGAACAGTTTGGGGCAATTCTATGGGCCAACAACAGAGTCTGGTTTACAAAAAGAACACATTCCAGTTAGTGCTATTGCAACAGAAGTAGCAAGGCTAAACCTGATATAATACAAGAATGCTTGTCTCTTTCTCCAATTTGCACCTCATTCTGATGGAACCATGATTATTGTGTGCCTTTCATTTATAGGACATTTTAATACTCAAAGGTTTCTTTTTATGTTTTAGGTATTAATTTACAAGATTTGTTTTACTATTAATGACGAAAAGAGATGCATTGAGTGTGCCTTGGCCCACGTTACATAGTTGCATAGTTACATAGTTACATAGTTATTCAGGTTGAAAAAAGACACTTTTCCATTGAGTTCAACATATGGAATAAATAAGTAAATATATAAATAAATACATAAATAAATATATTAAAAGCCTCCATATACAGAACCCTATACCTACAGCTGATCCAAAGGAAGGCAAAAAACCCCCTGTAAAACAATGATGGAGCTTCACTTTCTTCCTTTGTATACAGAGAGCTGAAGAAGGTATTTAATAGATTTGCCTTCTCATTGTCCCCAGAAGCAGAGACCGCGAGCCAGGCCTTCTCGTTCAACATCAGTACCTGACCTCACAAATGCGCTTCGTGAAGAATGTTCAAACATTCCCATAGACACACTCCTAAACCTTATGGACAGCCTTCCCAGAATAGTTGAAGCTGTTATTGCTGCAAAGGGTCGGCCAACTCAATATTGAACCCTACGGACTAAGACTGGGATCTCAAAGTTCATGTGCGTGTAAAGGCAGGCGTCCCAATACTTTTGGCAATATAGTGTATATACATATTCTGTATATTTGCAACCTGTCATTCATTTTGAATGTTCGCAATCTTGATTTTGTTTCTAAATATTTTGTTATATTCTTTTTCACTTTTAAATGAAGAAAGTGTTCCTTTATTTTTATATTCTTTTAAATGCCCTTTTCTTATTCTTTATGGCTTTTTGTAAAATTGAACCCAAGCTATATAGGTTTTACTTTCAGCCTTTTTAAACTTATTGCCCATGGAATATATTTTGCAGTGTGCTTGCAAACAGTCAATTTGAAATATTCCAATTTCTGTTCAGTATTCTTTGATGACAATATTGCCTCCCAATCTAAGTCTTGGAGAGTAGCCCTCAGCTTTGGAAAATGTTCTCTTATAAAATTAAGTGTTTTTATCCTTCCAATATGTGCTTACTGTTTACAACCTAAATTAAATGAAATCATGTTAAAGTGACATTAAACCCTCAGATTTTTTTACATAAAACAATACTGTAATGTGTGCCTTGCTCTAATCCATGGTTGTTTCCCTTCTCTTTGCTGCTCTTCCTTTTAAATCCGTATCTCTTCTCATGCTGGGCAGAACTTCTGTTTTGCAGCAGACTGCCTTGTCTCTGAAATGGATACATGGTGTCTGTGTGAAGGTTCACAACCTGAGCCAGCACTACAGGAAGAGGCACTCAGCTGCAAAGGGAAGTTCTCCACCAGCATGAGAAGAGATACAGATTTAAAAGGAAGAGCAGCAAAGAAAAGGGAAACAACCATGGATTACAGTAAGGCACACATTACAGTATTGGTTTATGTTAAAAAATCTGAGGGTTTAATGTCACTTTAAGGCCACGGCTACCCAGACTTACTTGTATATAAAATGTTTTAATGAGCTCCTCATTTAAGATTAACAGGTCCAGCAGATCATCATTTCTAGTTGGGACTTCTATCTACTATATTACTGTACCATAAAACTGTCAGTCAGTTTCAGGGTAGTGAAAATATCCCATTATTACCACTGTCAAACCCTTGCAGCCTCTTCTTCCTTATTAACATTGGGGCCTGTAACAAACTCCCAAAAAAATTACTTTGCAGTATGTACACTCATATGTAACTTCATCCATAATACCTCAGTACCATCATTCTCTCCATCAATAAGGTCCTCTTTCATATTCATTTTAGATCACTTTACACATAGAAACAGACAATGACACCTTTTCATTTTGCCCTGTCTCTCCGAGCAATATTAACAGCCTAATCAGAGAACAAAGCCAAGATTCAGTAATGCTAATTAAATTATAATACTCTTTGTGCACCAAAGTTTCTAACTTACCTACAGTATTTTGCTTGACTTTGCTTGACTTCTTGCATTGGTGAACAAACACTTTAATCCATATTTGCATTTTACACTTGAGTTTACTATTTTTCATAGTACAAATAATACTGTAAACATCAAAGTAACATTGAGATCTCCTTATCACCTGTTATTGCCCTGCCCCATCCTCCCACATTTCCACCCTGATTTAGTATCTGTCCACTGTCTGACAGGTCTGTACATTATATTCCAAATCCCCCCTCCTACTCAATCCTAGTTTAAATACTCCCCCAACCTTCCTGCAAACCTCTCCCCTAGCAGACACCCATCTGTTTAGACACAAACCATCTTAAGGTTGTACCCCAATGAAAAGTCAGAACAGTGCTTTAGAAATTCAAACCCTTCCCTCTTACACTAGATCTTTAGCCATGTATTTAGCTATGTGTTACATAAGGGCTTCCTTCGGAGGTTGACTTTTGACAATGAACAGTGTCTACCAACCATTGTTCTTTTAGATGTTGAATGTATATTTTGCTACTGATTTCATAGATTTTCTTAAGATTATAACATCTATTTTTTTCTTTTTTCTAGGGAGACATCAAACAATGGTTTGGTTCACCAACCAGCAAGTCCTGGGCATAGCCATATTGCTGCTGCAGTACACAAATTGCCAACAAAGTCAACACAATGAGGATTCTTTGTCTTTTAGCTTTACCCAGAGCATATATTATGCAACAGTTCATGAAAATTCTGCTCCTAAAACCTATATAGTAAGCCAGGAAAAAATGGGTGTTTACTTGAAAGATCCTCAATGGACGTTAAAGTATCGGATTGTGTCTGGTGACCCTACGGGGCTCTTTAAAATTGAGGAGGTTGTCATTGGAGATTTCTGCTTTTTAAGAATACGAATACGAAGTGGCAATACAGCTCTTTTGAATAGAGAAGTAAAAGATAATTACCAGCTGCTCATCCATGCTTCTGAGAAATCCTTGCATTATGAGCCACAGACTAAAGTTGTCATCCAAGTTTTGGACATAAATGATCTAAGACCTCTCTTTTCAACCACATCCTATAAGTTCACTGCCAGTGAAGATGCTCCTCTTAAAACAGTCCTTGGCAAAGTCAGTGCTACAGATGCTGACCAGGGCCAAAATGCTATGTTCTACTATACCTTTAACACCAAATCTCAATTATTTTGCATCCATCCAACAAGTGGCATAGTCATGTTGATTGGCCCACTTAACGCAACTCAAAAATCTGTGTACAATCTTGAAATTTTAGCAGTCGACCGCATGAGAAAAATTTCAGAGGGTAATGGATTTGGAAATGTGGCTTCTTTGGAGATCTCGGTGAAACCAGCCCTAAAAAAGCCTCCATTTATCTCCTCAGTAACAACAGCCATGGCAGATTCATCAGAAAGACTCCTTTATGCCACTGTAGTTATGGACTTGGCAGATCCATTGTGCAGCATTGACTCAGTGGAGATTGTAGATGGTGATCCAAATAGTTATTTTAAGGTTCTAAGATCTTACATGGGCAAAAATGAATTTACAGTAGTGTCTACAGCACAGATTAACTGGATGGAACACTCCCAGGGTTTCAATCTAAGTCTTCGGGCTAAAGACAAGAGCAATCCACCAATTTACTCCACTTTAAAAAATATCTACATTCCTCCATGGAAGTATGCTATGGCAAGATTTGAACAGGATGTTTATAAAGTGCAAATTAGTGAATGTGCCCCTCCTGGTAGTCATGTCTGCATTGTCAAAATAATTCCCACAGTTCCATCAGGGGGTTATTATTTAAAAACCTCTACTGACAAGTTCAGACTTATCACTAAAACTGGCTTGATTATGACCAGGAAGGCTATGGATGTAAAAGATCAGTCACAGTACCACTTGGAAATAACAGCACTTGATGGTCAGGTCTCTACCACTGTTATTGTTGACCTCATAGATTGCAATAATCATTCCCCAATGTTCCCTCTGTCTAAATATGAAGGAGCTTTTAATGAGAATATCCCTGTTGGAACAAACATTTTACAAGTACATGCCACAGATGCTGACCAGGCAGATAATGGTAAAATTACTTATAAATTAGTTGGTCACGAAAACAATCCTTTTGTCATTGATCGATTTACAGGGGTTATTACCAATGAAAGAGTTTTTGACTATGAGCTGAATCAGAGGTTATATAATCTAAAAGTTTGGGCTTCAGACTTGGGTGCACCTTTTCGAAGACAATCTGAAACATATGTAGCTCTTACACTCAACAATTTGAATGACAATGTTCCTGTTTTTGAAAGAATCAATTGCAACATAAGCATTCCAAGGGACATAAGTATTGGGGAGAAAGTGGCAGACCTTTCAGCAGTGGATATTGATGAGCTTCAGACTATACAGTATGAGATCCTTTCAGGCAATGAGCTACAAAAATTCAGGTTAGACCCTATTTCTGGAGATATTACAGTTAGAGGTGACATCTATGGTATGTCATCGTCTTCACCTTCTGTTTATTCCTTAGTTGTTACTGCTAGTGATGGAGAAAATAAAGCTGAACCCACTGTAGTCAGCATAAATATAATAAACAAAGGTTCACCCAAATCTGTACATTGTGAGGAGACAGGGGTGCTAAACAAAATAACAGAAAACATGATCAATTCCTTTAAGTTACAATCTCAGATTCAACTATTAGAGGAAGAAACATCTTTTAACACCCATCCAATAAATATTCATGCACCTCAATTCGATGACAACTTTCCCGTATCAATCGATGTGGCTGAGGACATTGTTGTCAACGTTTCCATTTCCCAACTGTCTGCCAGTGACCTCGATACTGGTTTCAATGGCAAACTAGTCTATGCAATATCTTCAGGAAGCGATGATGGTTGCTTTAATATTAATATGGAGACTGGGGAGTTGATTGTCTCTTCACCTTTAGATCATGAAACTGTTAGTTCGTATATCCTTAATATATCTGTTTATGACCTTGGAATACCTCAGAAGTCCTCTTGGAAGATTTTAGCAGTTAATATTTTGGATGTAAATGACAATGAACCAAAGTTTCCGCCTTCAGGATACTGTGTGCTTCTACGAGAGGATGCTAAGATAGGTAGTGTCGTCCTCAAAGTGAAAGCAGATGACTTTGACAAGGAAGACAATGGTAGGGTAAGGTATTCACTCCTAACTCCAACAGATGCATTTACAATTGATAGTTTCACAGGTGACTTAACAGTCAAGAGCATGTTGGACAGAGAGATGTTGTCAAAATATAAACTTAAAATAGAAGCTAGAGATCAACCCAAAAAAGGCAGGCAACTGTTCTCCTTCACTGACGTTGCCATAACTCTGGAAGACATCAATGACAATGCACCATATTGCCGGCCAGTAACAGCTAATGTGAAAATTGCGGAGGACATTCCTGTAGGAACTGTTTTATATTTTGTGGATGCCCAGGATTCTGACACAGGCCCAAATGGAGAAGTGTCCTACTCTCTGATTAATGATGAAAAAGGGACATTCCGTATTGAGAAATTAACAGGAGCTCTGATCCTAGAGAAAGAAATAGACTTTGAGACCAGGTCATTCTACAATCTGACCATAAGAGCATCGGATGCTGGCAGTCCATTTCCTCACTCTTCGGTGTGCCATGTGGAGGTGGTAGTTCTAGATGTAAATGAAAATCTCTATCCACCTTTATTTAAATCTTTTGTTTTTCATGGAACAGTACTAGAAAATGCACCAGCTGGAACTCTAGTGCTCTCTATCATGGCTCAGGACCAGGACAAAGGAAAGGATGGTGAAATACGATATTCTATTAAGGATGGAACAGACCTCTCAGCTTTTAGCATAGATGAAGAGACAGGTGGGCTATATTTTTTTTTGTTTGATATAAATTTAGTTCTTAGCATTAGGCTAGTCTAATGCTGTTTCTCCTTCAGTGTTCTATGCAGCTTGGAGAAGTATCTGCAATTGTATAAGTACATTAATATTACAGCACATCATTCCTAATTGTATTTACATATACAAAACAATCTAAAACACGGTCACTTACATACATGTAATCTGCTTGCATATACAGTTGTGTGAAAAAGTGTTGGCCCACTTCCTGATTTGTTATTGTTTTGCACGTTTGTCACACCTTAATGTTTCAGATCATCAAACAAATTTAAATATTAGTCAAAGATAACACAAGTAAACACAACATGCAGTTTTTAAAGGAAGGTTTTTATTATTAAGGGAAAACAAAATCCAAACCCACATGGCCCTCTGTGAAAAAGTATTTGCCCCCTAAACCTACCGTAATAACTGGTTGGGCCACCCTTAGCAGCAAGAACTGCAATCAAGCGTTTGCGATAACTTGCAATGAGTCTGTTACAACGCTGTGCAGGAATTTTGGTCCACTCATCTTTGCAGAATTGTTGTAATTCAGCCACATTGGAAGGTTTTCGAGCATGAACCGCCTTTTTAAGGTCATGCCAAAGCATCTCAATAGGATTCAGGTCAGGACTTTGACTATGCCACTCCCAAGTCTTCATTTTGTTTTTCTTCAGCCATTCAGAGGTGGACTTGCTGGTGTGTTTTGGATCATTGTCCTGCTGCAGAACCCAAGTTCGCTTCAGCTTGAGGTCACGAACAGATGGCCGCACATTATCCTGCAGGATTTTTTGGTAGACAGCAGAATTCATGGTTCCATTTATCACAGCAAGTCTTCCAGGTCCTGAAGCAGCAAAAACAGCCCCAGACCATCACACTACCACCACCATATTTTACTGTTCTACTTACAAAGCTGAACCAAGTCAAATGTTTCTATATATAGTATTGACACACTAACAATCCCTTACATGTTGGTCTAGCTATCTCTCTATATATCTGGAATGTGGTGTCATGATTTTCTGATTAAGGGACAAGTAAAGTTATCTGAATAGATTAGGAAATGGTTAAAATCCTGGTTTATTTTGTTTTTTGTTCCCCTGGTATTTGTGACCCCAGTGGGTTCCAACCCTTCCCTGCTCTATCCAAAATTAAATAAAAAAATGTTAGTTATAGATACACTTCAACCTTTTAAAGATATCCTTGCAGGATATGTATCATTGTCTTAATAATATACTCTTTCAGGATCAGTAAGTTCTTGCATAATGTTTCCTATAATCTATGACAATGTTAAATAGGGATGACAAAATGAGGTCCACCCTCTGTATTAAAATATTGAAAAGCTCATTTAATGCCTTACAAATCCTCCATTAATTCTTGTGATTGTCTTTTTCTTACACCTGTGGAAAATATGCAGTGCTGTAAAGTATAGGGCAAAGTGTGCAATACAGTTGTGATTCATCATCATCAATTAATCTTGGCATTTTTTTCTCAGGATCAATTCGGACAGAGGCTCCTCTAGATCGTGAATCTGTGCCACGTTACTGGTTGACCATCTATGCCACAGACTTAGGCTCTGTTCCTTTGTTCTCCATTGCTGAAGTCTACATTGAAGTTGTAGATGTCAATGATAACATCCCTCAGTTGTCTAAGGGGGTGTTTTATGCCTCGGTACTTGAGAACTCTCCATCAAATGTTTCAGTTCTTCATCTGGATGCCACAGATGCCGACTCCATTTCTTCTGGAAAACTCTCCTTCCAGTTCCTAAGTGTTAACAGCCAAGGACTGTTCACATTGAACCCAAACACAGGTAAGATGAAAACGTTATCCTACATCGATCTTTGCTTCTAGGTGTTATTCCACATTAGTTTTTTCATCTATTGCTTAATCTGTATGTGAAAAAAATCTATTTCTTTAGTATGTTTGGAATTATGTCTCAAATTATTTTTTGTGTATGTATTGCAAAGTTTCTTGCCTGAAGATCCTTCCAGTAGCACCACTTCCTATGTCAGGCTGGCAACTAGCAGCAACATTGTCAACCTGCCATGCAAACTCTTTCAGTTGGCATTTAGGCATCCTGTTATGTCTTTCATGTTTTATGCAGACCTGGTAGGCAGGCAAAGGAAGAAGTACATATGGTGGGCTGACAAATTTCCTGCTGATTTCAAGGCAGCAGCATAGTGTTGTCAGCCTGAAACAGGAAGTTCTGTTACTGAAAGGATCTCCAGGTAAGAGACTTTGAAACAGAAAACTGTATACAGTGAGATATGATGCCAAACATACTGGAAAATAGGTTTTGTGTTTACATTGCTAAGGGTGTTTTTAGGTAGTTTAAAGTGTACATGTATTTTAAAAAAACCACACTAAAAGAGAGTAAAAACCCTTCATAAGGTCCCAGGTACCCAGGCACTGAAGTGCATAGAGATCTCACCGAGAGTCCCTGACAGATAGAACTAATAATGAGGTGGTTAATTCTCCAGCACCTATCAAAATCTAAAATTGAACTTTTGGGTTGACTGACCCTTTCATAAGCTTGAATAACTGGTTAGCCATACCTCTTTTCTATATGGCAGAATAGATTTTGATAAAAATAGATTCTTCATGAGTCTTAAACACTAAACTTCTCCCTTGCTAATCTCCCTCCTCCACATAACCACTCCCCAATCCACACACTGATCCCCACTCTGATCCTATGTGTACGGGGAAACAAAATTAGCTGAGTGACACTGCTGAAAATGTTTGTCTTACATGCTAACACTTTCACCCTAAATTACAGTTTGATCACTTGCAGCCTATCTTTTTTTCATGAGTGTATTATGGCTGAACAAAAGATGTCTTTAAAAATGCATTTGAAGCCTTGACGTTCCCAACATACAGCTCTTTTCATTCTGGGAAATGGAATACAAGGCTTGTGAAAACAGGTGCTGGTTATACAGTCAGTGCTACTGTTTATAGCCTACATAAAATAAATTGCTTGTATAAGTATAATAAGGAGCTTTCACTGATGGATTTGAGAAGACGCTAAGGGCCAGTTCACATGATAGAGTTGCATGCACTAAATTTTTTCACTGCGGCCCATTGCACAATATTGCGGTACCACATGCTGTGCTGCAAGGAGGTGCATTGGGGTGCCATTTTAAAAGAATTGCAATGCAAAGCACCTAGCCAGGGTACTGCACGCTTGGTGCGCTGTGTGACAGCATGCACTAAATGCAAATTATTGTGCATTTAGTGCAACACTATGGTGTGAAGCAGCCCTAAGAATTCCATTATTATCGTATGGGCAATTATTAATGGATAATAGGTGAAATCTTTGTCTACTTTTCTTTGACTAGATGCTGATTTTCACTCCTAGATGTAATGGTTTGGGGTCAATTTTATTAAGTGGAGCTACAGCCTTACCTTTAGTTGTTCACAGGGCTGGATTTCCCACAAGGCCAACCAAGGCCTGGCCTTGGGGCAGCAGGGAGTAGAGGGGCAGCAGGGGTGTGCAATACCTATCTCCCAATGCCCGGGACATGCACTTCCGGGAGCCGGGCAGGTAGTTGTTTTCTATATTTAGCCCTGCTTTGTACAAGTGATCTTGGCGATGTCGCCGAGATCACTCGTATGCAGCCTGCATATAGGGGGGCGCATTGAGGAACCTGGCATTGGGGCAGCAGAGAGAGTAAATCCGGCCCTGGTCTTACAGGTTCATCTCCTGTACCAAAATTGCTTACTCTTATTTCACTGCACGCTGTGAGCTTCTAACAGTGTGCATTACAACCTGCATTAGAAAAGCCTTTTTTTTTTTTTTTAACTGGAAGACACCTAGCATTATATACGTTTTTCCTCTTCTGCCTGACTTTTTCATTATTTGGATTTCAGTTCTTTCAATCATTTACCTAGGAAATCAATTACTAGGGCAGTCTGATGGCGAATGCAGCCCGCCTAAGAATGTCCACACCTCCAAACTGACATCAACTCATCAGGAGATAATGATATTTGCATAACTCCTGCCAAAGAGCCATCCCACTGCTTGCATCCATAATAAGGACTCCTCAAAGAAGTACTGAGGCACAGTGCTTTGATTTTTTTCTAGGAAACTTTTGTACAGCACCCTGCCAGTCCCTCTTATTTGCCTGCATTGTATAGACACTGGGTCAAAAATAATTTCATGTAACTAAATGCTGAGCAGAATCCAGATTGTGACAAGGGAACCAGAAGTATATAAGTCAGTCAAGCTCCTCTACATTGCACAGTGCTGTCAATCTAATCAGCAGGCTGAGGGTAGGTCAGTAACCAGGCAGTATTGCTTTACTGAAGTGGGGCAAATTGAGGTCACAGATCTGGTAATACAGAGGAGCCTAGGCCACAGAACAGCAAGACTGAATTACCAATCTTTTGGCCTATAAAAAAAGTCTATACAGTATATACTGTATTAGTTGGGTATGTTGCTGTTTGCCATGAGTTCAGCTTGAATTACTTCTCCTTTTATCCTCCATAGTTTGTTAAACCAGTTTTAAATCTATACAGGGACTTGCTACATTGACATTGATGTACTAATGTGGTGCTGTTGAAAAGTTTGTAATGATTTTGCATTCCTCAGTGCTCTGAACAGCTGCAGCTGCAAAGCCCATTGTAGACTTTGACTTGTTTAACACAGTGCAGGACAATCTCTCCTGCAGGTAAACCAGACTACGGATGGATCAAAGACATCTGACAGTATTGCACACTTCTATTTAAACACCTGGAGGTTTTGCATGCCTCTACTAAGATTTTTTTGCAGAACTAGTCGAGTAAGGGGTTTGTAGGCATGAGTTACTAAAAGGAACACAGTGGCCCAATAATAGAGTAAGCAACCTTTCTGATCACACAAGCACTGTCAGTTTGGCCATTCAAGACAAAGTGATAGTGTCTGGACCTAGCATCCTTAATCCCAGGCAAGCTCCCTGCAAAGCTGGAGCGCCCACTAACATAGGCTTCCTGGTATAGGGAAGGCCTTCCAGGGAGCCACCGAAGGAATGTGGCTAAGTAAAAGTAAGTATTTATGCCTGGGGGGTGGGCTATGTGTAGACACTGTCAATTTGTTCTGCATTGCAAGGTTAGAAAACCTTGCCCGATCATTGCTAGAAGCGTTTGCAGATCACCTAACCTGCCTCCCTTCTAAGCAAAAATGGTCATCCTGGTCATCTAGTGTGTATGAAAGCTTTAGGATAGCCATTGATGGACAGATGTCTCTCCAGGCCGAGACATCTTCTCGTGGTTTGTAGCACTGAGACCAGCTACTGTTGATGCAATGGGTTTGATTTACTAAAGGCAATTAGGCTGTTCACTTTGCAAATAAATTTTCACTGTGCAAATAATTATTTTCGGTCATTTTCGGATTCAGCGCACCAAAAAACATAAAGATTACGTGGATTAACCAAAACAGCTCTCAAAAAATTTTTTTTTGCAGACCTGTGTAATTTTTCCCTCAGCTTCCTGAATGAGGTAAAGCTCTGATGACTTCCATCATTCAATCATTTACAAGCAAAAATACTGTTCTTTTTATTTTCCTTGCACAGGATTGGCTATTCTTTGCAAAAACAAACGTCACCTCATTCACTAGGGGGAAAATTCCCCTGCAAAGTGAACAGTCATTTTGCCTATAGTAAATCAAAACCAATGACTCTTTTGACATGACACTTTGAGCTGTTTTCACCATGTTGAAAAGCAGCATGAGTGGTAATGAGCACATCTGATATCAGAAATTCTTGGTATTGCCTTCTAGGTTTACCCTTCAATTGTGTGCTCCCACAGCAACCTGTTTTTTTATTTGTTGTGCCCTTGTTATGTTCCCCTGTTCCCTCTACTGTTTGGAGCTGGTTAGTGCAGTCCTTAGCTACACACTCCTAATCTCTTACTCTACTGCTTAGTTAAATTCTCTTTACAAGACAGGGCGTAGAAAAGTCATTGTTTTGTACACTTAAAAAGAGTGGGAAAAACCTTTTCTGTACTGCACTAGTTGAAAAAAAAAAATGCATTGGATTCAATTTCTGTGTCTTATTGCTGCCTGGGGATGCTGCCAAGTCAGCAAATGGCCATACTGTCCACACAGACTGGGTCTACAGAGATGTGTCATTGCATATATCAGCATTTGAAACAGAACAAATGGCCTGATTCCCACTTGAGTGCCAGATTAGGCATTCAGTTCAGCCTGCCAAAGTATGAAAAATAAAGAAACCCTCATTGCACTTTAGACAAAAATTAGGTTAAATCCTCCCAGCAGAATCTGACATCAGGGACCAAAGGATATCTTTATTTACACGCATGAGCTACAGATGTTTACATAACCTAAAACTGAACTCTATTTAAATCAGGGTGCACAGATTGGTGGAGGGGATGGTTTGAGTAGACATAAAATAAGGTCCCAGGCCTGCCATTTAATAGTCCCTGTCTGTCAGTTTGACCTCCAAGACCTATGGCCTGCTCCTTCATGTTCCTGAAGGGAATTAAAGGGCAGGTTGGTCAGAAAACAGTGCAAACAAAGGTGGCTAAAGATCACAAATGCACACATTTCTCAAGTTTGTTGTATTTTGCTTAACTATGCTTTACAGAGGTTTAAGAAATCTGATCTTTTCAGTGTTCCAATCAAATCTATAAAAAATCAAACCATGGGATATTTTTCTTTCACAATGATTTTACTGTGTTAATAAGTGAACAAATTATACAAATGTTCATTTCAAAAAGGTTTCACCAGAGACATACAATGAGGGCAGTAAACTACCACAAATTCACAATGTAAAAAAAATGACTATTCAGAAAAAGGAGAATAACCCAGCGTATGCA